AAAAAAAAAAATAGAATAGAAGATTACCTGTTATGGGATTTCTTGGATCTGCAAAGACGCCAGTTTATCTTTCTGTGAGGACTGAGATTAAGGTATTACGTATGAGTGCCACAGAGAGAGAGAGAGAGAGAGAGAGAGAGAGAGAGGGGGTGAGGGGGTTTAGGACCAGATTGAATTATGAAGCAGAGGTGGAGCTTTATCGAGTGTTTGAGAAAAACAAAAAGAAAGAAGAAAAAGGAGGAGAAGGATGGTTACCAGAAAAAGTAGAGAGGGTGAGACGAGACGAGAAGAAAGAAAACGTGAAACAGAAGTTAATAATTGATGCCCCACCTTTTTCTTTTCTTTTTTAAATACCCGTTAATTTCGATTTTGAACCCAGTAGACAAGGGCACCCTTCTTTCCAACAGTTCAAACTATCTCTTATATAGAAATATATATATATATATTAGACATGTTTCTTAAATCTACAGTTTTCCAAATCCTTTTGGCATTGCCAAAGATCTAATTGCATAATTTATCAACCCTATGTTAGTGTGGTGTAGTTGAGTTGCTTGAGTTTACTTACAAAATTTAATAGTTAACTCAATTTGAGTTTTAAAAACAATAATTTTGGAATGTAGTTGGATGTACTTACAAATTATATTAAAAAATAGTTATTTTAAAGGGCTTCTTAGATATAGGTCCATTTTCATCAAGATATAATGGATGCAGTCCACATGCTCTCTTTTTTCAATTGCAGTCCAGTCTCACCAATTAAACAATTAGTATGTCCATAATTTTTAAAAATTTACAGGATATGCCACTATCATAAATGGAATTATATGAAAACACATTCCTAAAATTCAGTGTTTCCTTATATATATATGTGCATGTGTGTGCATTTCCTTATATATATATATATATATAAGGGAGCTTTAGTAATATACCCAAAATAGGGGCTGAAATTATAAAAAAACCCTACATGAAATGCACTTTAGAAACACACCCAAAAACCATTTACTACATATGAAATTAGTATTGAAGTTCCTATAAATTACATCTTTGCCATTGATTAACTTAAAACAAGCCCAAAACAAAATTCCTAAAAAAACCCAAAACAAGCCCAACGAGCACATATCAAATTTTTTTGAAAAAACCCAAACTTAAAATAAAAAAATAATAAAAAATCAGAAAACCAAGGGTTTGTCCCCACGGCCCTTCATTCTCCATCAAACCTCCACAAACCATGTCATAGAAGTGCATTGTTAATACCATGTCATAAAAGTACATTGTTAATACCATGTCATAAAAGTGCATTGTTAATACCATGCTATAGAAGTGCTTTGTTAATACCATGCTATAGAAGTACATTGTTAATACCATTTCATAGAAAAACATTGTTAGTACCATTTCATTCAAAAAAAACATTGTTAATACCATTTCATACAAATAAAAACATTG